TATATATATATGTATATATATGTGTATATATATATGTGTATATATGTATGTGTATATATATGTGTATATATGTATGTGTATGTGTGTGTGTATATGTATGTGTGTGTATATGTATGTGTATATATATATGTGTATATATGTGTATATGTATATATGTGTATATATGTGTATATGTGTGTATATGTGTATATGTATATATGTATAATGTGTATATGTGTATATGTATATATGTGTATATGCGTGTATGTATATGTATATGTATATATATATGTATATGTATATGTATATATATATATATGTATATATATTTATATATATATATGTATATATATATGTATATATATGTATATATATGTATATATATACATATATACAATGCGCAACTTGGTGCTTTAGGCTGCTCTGCTATAGCAGTTAATTAGGGTCTTTGAATATTGTAAGGATTTAAGTGCTAAGGAAAATTTTTACATTTGCGGTTGACATGTTATGACATTTGAGGTAAAAATGAAAAGTTTTACATTTGTAGGTGAAATGTTACTACATTTGTAGTTAAGCAGATTTTTACATTTGTGGGCGATTTTTTTTACATTTGTGGTTATTTTTACATTTGTGGTTGACATGTTATGACATTTGCGGTTATTTTGACATTTGCGGGTAGAATGTTTTGACATTTGTGGTTATTTATACATTTGTGGTAGATTTTTACATTTGTGGGCTCTACCCCCCCCCCCCCGGAAATATATCATAGAACCGCCACTGCTCGCCTACCGAGCTTTAATCGGTACCGTTCCTGATTACATAAGTCTGGAGGTTGACCAACTACTTAATTTCCAATTGTTTATTCCTCGAACTAGTTTTGTAATTTGCAAGCAATGTTGTAGTTGTAATGCGCCTATGAATTTTAATTTAATTCCAATATTTGCTTATCTAAACATCTATACTCTCTTCTTAAACTTAAATTTAAGCAGTTTATTAATAGATAAATTTGGCCTATATTTTTGTCAGATTTTAATACGTTTTAATATATTTAAATCCTTTTACTTGTATCTGACTCTTGAATATTTAATATTTTACAAGTTTTTTTTGCATGTTTTATCGAAGGCAATTAAATAAATCGAAACAAATAAATAAGAAAATAAATGCATTTTGATAAGTCTAAAGATCCTTGTACATAAGTGTTATAGAAAGGTATTTGACCCACTTCATTCCTAGTCATTACGGCATCACAGAATTCTTGTCTGTTTGGTACGATTACAGTATAGCAAACATATAAGTACTCTAATACAGAGAAACCCCTATTAAAGGGACACTTTTGAGACCAAAAGAAGTGTCCCCTTAATAGGGGTGTGTCCTGAGAAGGATTACCCCTATTAAGGGGACTCTGACCAAAAACGTGAAATGTTCCCATTAACAGGGGTTTCGGAATGTTTTCGTACAATGATATAACATAGATTGTTTTATAATTTTTATAATAAAGTTTCAGTTGTATTATTACGAATTTATGCAAAAACACTACAGTTATATAAAATATCAGAAATACAACGCGAGTTGTACTGTACATGTTCCCGATATTGTTTTATTTGAGTGGTATGTTATTGACCAATTCTTTTTTTTTTTTAGATATTGAGCTTTCTATTGGATGTACAAGATAGAATAACATGAATAGAGTAACGACTTAGGAATCAGGGTGTAGGCTGTACTGTATATGTACATTAAACAAGAAGTCATGGTTAAATGTTCACAATAAATTGTAGATTAATAATTAAGATTTTATTATACGAATTACAGTTAGACATGCACTAGGCCTACATAGGGCCTACGAAAAAGTGTCTCTTGAATAGGGGGTGTCCCAATGGAGGGTTTCTATTGTATTCCAAAACAGTGAATGTTGCCTATTAACTTGTTTATTTCGGTGTAATTAGTTAGTGTACTGTATTTTGATATGACTGATGTACCTTTCTTATTTCCTTGGAAGTTTCTGAAAACAGTATTTTTCACCATCGGTGTCATGGCAGTCATTGATGAAGGGAAGAATAAGCAGGAAAACGACCCACTCAAGACCATCAAGCCATCCAAGCGTTTTGAGCCACTCATGATTGGGTTGGTTTTATTTTTGGTCGGAATCGCTTTCAGTTACTTTGCACGTTTCACTTTTAACCCACTCCAAGATCTTAGTGGTTTAGTAATTGTTGAAATTACTAAGTTATGGTAAGTGTCTATCAAGGGTATTCAATCATGTATTAATTCACCTGAAACTTGCCTACAAACTGTAGGCCTACAGATAGTCAAATTCAAGTTTACAACTTATGTTGAAACTAGCTTTGAGTTCATTAATTTACTAATCAAACGTAAAAGAATCCATAATTATGGAGCGTGTGGCACAGCGTGTAAGGTGTTGGTCTGATCGGGAATTCGAAACCGACGCTTGTCGCAATGCTTGTCCTTGTTGCAAGGCACTTTACTTACGTTTGCCTCTCTCCACCCAGGAGTATAAATGGGTACCTGGTAGGATGGCCATGGCATTGAACGTATGTGGCTGTGCGTGTAAAGTATTCTAATACTGCCATATTTTTTGTAGGGCATCATGGTGAACAAATACAGGCTTTCTGAAGAAAACGTTTAGTCGAATACGTAGGCGTAAAACGCCATAACCCAATGACATGCATCGGCACAGTTCTTTTTATCGCTAATGTCTGGGTCTGCAGAAGTCATTTCTTGAAGGGCTATAAGCCAGAGGCGGCTAGAGCGAGTGTATACGAACTAAATTATTTAAATAACCAAGGAAATTCTTTGGAAAGAGCAAATTATCGCGATATACTTATCCAGCGCCTGCTGTAGATGAGTGTGCAGACATCACATTCTAAGGGCAAAATACTAGCACAACCTCCTGCATATAGGCCAAGGCATTGATTACAATTTTTAATGTTAATTAAACATATTATCAATAATAGTGTTATTTATTATTTCTTTTTAATTCATATATGAAAAGATGTGTTGTTAATTGAAATAAATATTGAAAATACTGATATAAATTGTTTTCTACTTCAATTGAATTAGGAGAAATGTTAATATAATACAAACGGATTTATTTAAATTGAAATAGATATAGAATATAAATACTAACAATAAACTGTTTCTTTTCTCCCAAATTTAAGTAAGGAAAAGTGGTGGGGTTTTGCTCAAGCATTTTGTCCAATACTTGGTGCTTTAGTAGGTGCAACGATCTACATATTAAGTATCGAAAACTATCATCAGATGACTGCCGAATCAAGGAGTGAAGGTATCTGTGTCCCTATTTTGGATTATATGTAAATGTTTATTTTACAGTAATTAACTTATTATTAATGTATTAATGATTATATTGGCTGTGTTATCCCAATAGGCTTAGATTAAATAAACAGTTAATTTCATTTAATTGGAATTAGATGAAATATTTTCTTTGCCAATTAACAGACACAAATATACATTTTTAAATGTTTTCAATTCAAGCGAAATTAAAGTTATTTGTATTCAAAAGTCTGTAAACACACACAAACATAACTGAAGCAATATTTCATCAATTTATATGATCAATCTAATGACTAAAATGTTTATCTTAGATGTTTTTCATAATAATCAAAAAGAGAGTATTTTTAATAGTTATTAAAAATTAAAGAATACATTAATTACACAAATGATATATTATTGAATTTATTACACTAGGGTAATATTAACCGCTCCTCAACATGTTTATAATTTTCCTCCATATAAATGGGCTAAAGTATTTGAATACAATAAATATTAGAAAAGAATTATACCCCTTTGGATCATTTGAGGCTATATATATATTGCACGTAAATTCTATAGTTCACAATGTGAATAGCAGCACGTTTTTATTTTCTTTACTTTTACTTATTTTGGGTAACATGCTTGGATTGCATATATTAATCTTGATCACGACGAGCAATTTTCTTTCTGGCATTTAATATGTTATTAAAATAATAATATAAACATTAGGCTTATTAGTATTAATTTTTAAGGTTTGAAGTTTATTAAAGGTGGTCTGTTATTGGATGGGTCTAAGAGGGAGACCTGAAGCGTAGTATGAGAGTAAACAAATGAAATTCGAATGAAATTATTTTATGAACTAATAAAATTAATTTAAAAAAAAATTAATTAAACAGTTAATTTTAATCTTATTCTTAACTAAATAGCGCTATATAATATCGCATTATTATAAATGTCGCATTATTACTTCAATTCTAATAATACGTCCTCTGAGAGCAGAATACAGAATGGGTAGCCCCGCACCCTTGCTAAGGTTTCATCAAGATAGTGTAATTGGACGCAAGTGGCGCTGTTCTGATTAGCCAGTTGTTAAGTTTGATTGACACTCCAGCAAATTCCATTGTGATGTAGGTGAACGTTGAACAATATAAATACTATAGATCCTTCCACCATTAATAATATGCAATGTTTCAATATCATCATAATTTGAAATTTAAATAGTACATACAATAAACGCCCTCCATTAAAAATCTCCCAATTATAAACTCTCTAAATTACATTATTAAAAGTTTTTTTTTTAATTGGAAAGATTGAAGAAAGTACATACAATTTCATCCCCAGTTATTATTTCATGACTAAAAATGTTCAAAGAAAAAATTCATCTGGTTCCTATAAAGATGTTACTTAGGATTATCTATTGGCAAATATAACTCTCTGAAATACAAACTTTCTCTATTACAAACCATATTAGGACATAGGGGTATGTAATTGAGAGGTGTTACTGTAATTACTATTGTTACTATCACCTGAATTATTGAAAATACCGTAAATATTTAAAATCGATTTTTTTTTTCTTATTATCAATGTACATTCAGGTGCCGGAAGTTATGATCCGTTAGATCAAGACAATCCAAGTGAGAGTTTACCATAGTAAGAACAAAGTATTGTAGGCTTAATTAAACTAAAAAGCCTGTTGCCATAGTCAATTTTCACTCCATTTTCATTCTCCATAAATTAGAATATGTGTTATGGTTTCACCCCATTTTCATTCTTCATAAATTAGAATATGTGTTATGGTTTCACCCCATTTTCATTCTTCATAAATTAGAATATGTGTTATGGTTTCACCCCATTTTCATTCTTCATAAATTAGAATATGTGTTATGGTTTCACCTCATTTTCATTCTTCATAAATTAGAATATATGTTATGGTTTCAATGAATACCCAAATACAAAAATATCATCTAGGCTGCTGCCCACATATGGTCGTATTAACAATTAAGGAAAGCGTGACTTGAGGTGTCGAGGAATGAAAGGAAGTTGCCGAGTGATGATCTCTTATTTTCAATTATTAACAATCTTAAATTGTTGAGTTTTGATGTCATTTATATGTAGAATTTCTCAGCTTTTAAACTCAGACTCGTCCAGAGTCGTAGGCCTGGATTTTCTTGGGACGACTTGATGCAATAACCTGTGTGTGTCCATATTTGAATTATAAAAGTTTCCTCACCAAAAGGCTGGGAGCGTTTGCGTGGTAATATTTTATTGGTTTGCAAGCTTGTTGTGTTCTTGCTCTTGAGCACTCTCCTTTGGCAGTAACTTTACAGATTTTGCCTAGTGGGTGTAAGCATACCGTATGGACAACGGAGTCTTATGTAAGTATCAGTGGTACTTACGTGTTTGAGTAAACTTTGAATCTATTTATTACCATAGGTGATGCAGACATATCGCCCAGCTACACAGTGTGAATATTGGTTCAGAACTTCAGATTTCAAAATACAAGCTAACGTCTGTTTCATTGGCTTAGTTGTATACCTAACTTTCATCTAACATACTATAGTATTTCGAGCGTCATGCCTCTCATGAAATGGACACATGATGTGCAGCTGTACCTTCTTTGTAGAACATGTGATATCAGTCTCTTCAGTGGATATTGGTTTGTTCTCTCGTGTATATGATTTCATTTTATTTTTATTATGGAATATTTTATTTCCCTCTTTTGAGCTTTAATTCTTTGACCTCTGATGCAGTAAATAACTACCGTACAAATTATCAAAACACTGTATAGGCCTACATTTATATTATATACGGGATATATATACGTATATGTAAATATAAAGACAGAATACTGGTAAACAACAATGTTGTGAAAAACAATAGCTGGATGTCGTAGAGATAAAAAAAATTGATAATCAGTTAGCAGTCAGAAATAGAAGAGCTTTTTGGACAAAATTAGACCTTCCCCAGTGATGTGTGTTATGTGCGTGTATTTTAGCCAATGTAGGAGTGTTTACATTGGTCAGTCCAGGCTGACTAAACCACCTTCTCATATAATATCGTTGAAAAATTGTTGATAACTGATAAATTATTAATTTATTGCAAACATTCAATCATTGTTCACATTATTCCTTGTTTTTTTTCGAATGCTTAACATAACCAAATTTGTTGTTTACCAACAAAATGAATAGTTTAACTTTATAGTTAGTTAATTATGCTACCTGTGTATGTATTAAAATGTAACCACTTCAGAATTGATGTAAAAACGACAATGAACAGTAGTCATACTGTAACGAGTTCCTGTTCTTATATCATTTCTCAGTTTACTAGACGGTATAAATATTTTTTTTAACACCACAAGACGATGATTATTATTGATCTTTGTATTAGAGGCAGTATAATAGCTTATCGGCATTTTTTTTGTCTTAAATGTTATGTAAGTCTGTTAGAACCAGGGAGTAGAATTTTGTATACTATAATTTTCCGATTTTTTTTACGATCTACCTAATGTGTGTTTTTTTTAAACTTTGTATTTTAAATCATATATATAAAATTAATTGGATTGAATTGATAACAATACTGGACATTACATGTCACAGATTTGAAGGGACATTTCACTGATCAGCTGTCATATGTAAATTCATGAATTACTTTAACAATTTAACAACAATAATAATTTTCATATAATTTCTATTTAGTATTCAAAATAAAATGTTGCTCTTATTTTTGTTTCTTGTTATAGATAACTTGCACGCTATAACGCTGCTTCAGTAAACCTCTGTAAAGTTGTATAGGACTAAACCAACCCTTACAATGGTAACTAAACGTATTTTGGTATCTTTGATACTGTATGGAATGTGGCTTCTAATCATGGGGATTATACTGTCAGTTGGTCCGCGCAATTATATTTAAGACTTAATTAATGTGTCTATGTGACACTTAATTTTAGCCCATAATTGGCTGATTGTTTAATTAACCTGTTGCTATTTGGTCCTGATTGGACAGATCTGTGAGTAGCGTATTTAAGTTGTCGCTTTAGGCCCAACGACCATCAATTACAAAATTTGTTTCATGTATTTTTAAAAATAAGCATCGTTGTAAATAAGTGTATTATTTTTCAATTGTCTTTCTGCTCGATTATTTTGAGCCTTTATCATAAAAGTCTCGACGGTGTACTCCGTAATATGTAAATTGATGATTGTAACCTTAAATCCAGTAACTAACAATTTAACCAGTCATTGTTAATCGAACGAATTTATAATGCGCATTAAACATCGTTGACAATCTTGGTCGCAGAATATTTTTGTTCCTTGTTCAATGTAACTTGCACTATATGGAGCTGTCAACCTCTGTAAAGACATCTAATTAACTCTTCTTATAAGTCCTTAGCTACAATGTATACAGTTGTTCAATTATATTATTTGTATGGGAATGATGTTTTCCAACCTGACGTATTGTCATCATTCCTGATGATGACATAATTAATGTCGAAATATTGAATCCCAACACGATGGCGTGTATTTCAATACTTAGAATATGTATTATATTTTCTTATCAGAGATTAATCAGTGGACCTTTCGGTTTCTGACGTATTATCGTACTGAAATACAGTATTTACAAAAAAAACTGTCAAGTAATTCGAGTGGGACTCGAACCTATGTCCTAATGGCTAGTGCTAAATCTGATCCCTAATTAGCACAATTCATAGCATGATCTAGTGGTGTAATCACCAAAAGAAATGTTTATATTGTTTAAATAAACCTTTTAACAATTTTATAAAATTCATCCTTTTTCAATTATATAAGGCATTTTTAATCGACACGTAAAATGTATAGGCTAGTAATGAATAATAAATAAATAATAAAATTATAAATATATTTCATCTTTGTTTTTAACTGTAGTGTTTCAAAAGACAAATTTTCAATTTTATGTAATTTCGATATGTAATTTGAACAATAGATATTTGATTTTTAAAATATTTGTGTTTATTAATATTTCATTACGAAAAGAATATCATTTCTAATTATTTGCTCTAATTTCTTTAACTTTTTTCGACAATCTCCGTTATTGGATTTATATTTCTAACAATATCAGCCTTTTATTAATTTTTATTATTGATGTGTTGAGAGAACCACACACATACAGGGCCACCATACATACACAGCTGGAGGAAATAACGGATTGTATTCAAACTTAAATAAAGACACTGTTTCCAGCCCAATTTTTAATTTCTGAAAACTATAAACGTTATGCCTGCATTTAATGTACAAGTGAGATGTATAAATTTGTGTCCCCCTTTATTTACTGTTCCAAGGTAGGCATTATACTGATATGACATCATTATTTTCATCTCTTTTCAGATTCAGATTTAGAATTTATTTGTCCTCACCGAAACTTGTAACAAGCTCATATCAAAACACAAATTTG